ACACCGAACATATGATGGTTCACATCTAGGACACAACACTGATGTATTACATCGTTCGTATGATGGTACACATCTGGGACACAACACTTATGTATTACATCGTACGTAACGGGGTCTATGAGAGTGTAAGGGGCAGAGCTAGGGAAGGGGAGCTATGTAAGGGAGCTATGTAAGGGTGGCTATGTAAGGGAGCTATGCAAGGGGAGCTATGTAAGGTGAGCTATGAAAGGGGGCTATGTAAGGGAGCTATGGAAGGGGAGCTATGGTAGGGGAGGGGGCTATGTAAGGGGAGCTATGCACGGGGAGCTATGTAAGGGGAGATATGCAATGGGTGCTATGTAAGGGGAGCTATGTAAGAGGGCTATGCAAGGGAGCTATGGAAGGGGAGCTATGGTAGGGGAGGGGCTATGTAAGGGGTGCTATGGAAGGGTGGCTAAGTAAGGGGAGCTATAGAAGGGGAGCTATGAAAGGGAGCTATGCAAGGGGAGGTAAAACCCGGAGGAGAACACTATAATACGGGGCTTGCTTTCTGTCAGTTATGATAAGCAACAAATTGCACGATAGTTATGTACATGATGCAAAGAATTAGACAACGCGTCTAGTCCCCAGCAGTCACATTGCCTGTAGGTACGTCTAGTCCTCAGCAGTCACATTGCCTGTAGGTCCGTCTAGTCCCCAGCAGTTACATTGCCTGTAGGTACGTCTAGTCCCCAGCAGTCACATTGCCTTTAGGTACGTCTAGTCCGCAGCAGTCACATTGCCTGTAGGTTCGTCTAGTCCCCAGCAGGCACATTGCCTGTAGGTCATCTAGTCCGCAGCAGTCACATTGCCTGTAGGTACGTCTAGTCCCCAGCAGTCACATTGCCTTTAGGTACGTATAGTCCCCAGCAGTCACATTGCCTTTAGGTACGTCTAGTCCCCAGCAGTCACATTGCTTGCAGGTACGTCTAGTCCTCAGCAGTCTCATTGCCTGTAGGTACGTCTAGTCCCCAGCAGTCACATTGCCTGTAGGTACGTCTAGTCCCCAGCAATCACATTGCCTGTAGGTACGTGGAGCCATGCGATCAACAAAAACGTTGTGTTTAACAATATCACATGTCTACCTGAGAGTTAATTGGTTAAAACGACCTTCATCTCGTGAAATATTCACAATGGTTTGTCATAAACAGCAACAATGCAGTCATTATTTCAAAATGTTCCGACTAAATAAATACAAACAAAATTAAAAATAACATGACCTCAACACGTGATCACGTAACTTCCTGGTAGTGTAGGTATGTGCAGGTAGTTATCAGGGATTACCGAAGGTTACTGTAATAATAAACAGTACAACATGAGTTATCCTTCTTGCCTTAACGACATTTTGGAAATATCATGTTTACGAATATATCAAGTCAGCATTCTAAAAATTGGATTAACACTTAAAAGATTACATGACCTCGACACGTGATAACATAACTTCCTGGTAATGTAGTTTTATGTCGTATATCAACGGGTACATTTTTGTAAACAGGACAACACGAGTTATCCTTCTTGCCTTAACGACATTTTGGTAATCTCATGTTTACTGCGTCATAAAAAATGCATGTGTAGTAATATACAAAATACAATAAATGATAAATGTACCAAAACCCGTTATCATAGACAATACAACACGACTTTTCTTCGCCTAAGGGCGCCTATTTACTCCAGCGTCCGTTTGTAAACATTTTTCGTTGCCGCTATTTCCTGAAAGAATCATGATTAAACTTACTATGCGTGATCCCTTAGAAACTGTTTGAGCATACTTTATTTTAAGATAGATCAAAGAACAAAATAGTTGCCGGGCAGTAATTTTGATTTTTTTTTACCGCTATTTCTAAAAAAAAATGCTGAAGGATTCATTACCAAACGAGTTTAACGTGACCCTTTAGTCCTGTTTGTGACTCCTTCAAATTTGGGTGCATCTTAAAAACAATACGTCAACCAGGCACCATTTACATTTTGTATTGATGTTTAATGTTAAGTTTGTTTTTGTTATTGCTCGGAAAGTACTAAAGTACAAACAAGAAACAAAGGATGTAATACACATAAACCTTCATCACGATGAATTATTGTGTTTTCCGAGAAGTAGCGGTAACAAACTATACATGTAGTATTAAAAGGTCATGTTGTAACTTCTTTATCGTATACTGCTCTTTAACATCAAAATTATAGGCAATAACACAAAATGTAATGCAGAATATTTTTTTCTCATACTTTAATAACATTCTACCTCAAATAAAACACCATGAACAGAACAGCAAATACAGATTGATATACAGTGTGTACACTCCCAGTTCTGGGTGGGAATTTCTGAAAAGTGTTAAACCGGAAATTAAACGCATTTGGAGCGTGCCTGGCGGATATGACGCGTGCTGGGCGGATATGCAATATAACACATCGAAATAAGTATGTGACAAGTAAAGGATAATATACATGTGAATATTTCATACCGGTAATATACATTTCAATATGACATGTCAGTAATGTACATGAAATGTGTCGTTTGCACGTTAGTCAATGGTTCAATCCTCGACAGCTATAATGTGCTATAATGTCTGCACATGCAAACTCTGGTCAGGAATTTGTAAGTCTATTGTATCGATATCGATTGAGTAACATCTGGTCTAGTATTTACGTATATACAGATATGATCGAATAAACCTGGAGATACATCATACAATCACAAGGATAGTGCCCAGGTTTGATCTGCTCGATGAAGTCAGCAGATCAATAAGAAACGGTGGACGGTTTGGTACGCCACTGTGTGAAAGACGCCTTGTCTTGGCCAAGAGCTGAACAGTGTATCGAGGCAGGGTGGCCACCAGCTGAAATGATTGAATTATAGGCCAGGAATACGTGATACCACATATATTTATATAAAGTGTTCTTTGGGAGAAGGATTTGGATATACATACCGCCGTATCTGTATGTCCATTGGTGGGAGTTGACGGTAGGTGATGGCGCTGTTGTCCATTATAAACACACCTGTGTTAGTATGTGTTTGTGTTGTGAACAATTACACTGTAAATATGCTCACCATCTCCCGCTAAACACTATTTGATTTGACAGTAGCAAACTATATTTAATTTCTGTGTCTATAATAAACTAATTTTGCTATTTTTTTCAAAAGCCATGCATTGTCCCTTTTGACAACAATTGTTGACAATGGTGTATACTATGTCCATGTATTGACAATGGTGTATGGTATGTCCATGTATTGACAATGGTGTATAGTATGTCCATGTATTGACATTGGTGTATGATATATCTATGAATTGACAATGGTGCATAGTACGTCCATGTATTGACAATGTTGTATGGTATGTCCATGCATTGACAATGGTGTATAGTATGTCCATGTATTGACAATGGTGTATAGTATGTCAATACATGGACATACCATACACAATTGTCAATACATAGACATAGTATACACCATTGTGAATACATGGACATACCATACACCATTCTCAATACATGGGCATTCCATACACCATTGTCAATACAATGGTGTATAGTACGTCCATGTGTTGACAATGGTGTATAGTACGTCTATGTTTTGACAATGGTGTATAGTACGTCCATGTGTTGACAATGGTGTATAGTACGTCTATGTTTTGACAATGGTGTATAGTATGTCCACGTATTGACATTGGTGTATGATATATCTATGCATTGACAATGGTGTATAGTATGTCAATACATGGACATACTATACATCATTGTCAATACATGGACATACCTTACACCATTGTCAATACATTGACATACCATCCACCATTGTCAATACATGGACCTACTATACACCATTGTCAATGCATGGACATACCATACAATATTGTCAATACATGGACGTACTATACACTATTGTCAATGCATGGACATACCATACAATATTGTCAATACATGGACGTAATATACACCATTGTCAATACATAGACATACCATATACCATTGTCAATACATGGACATAGTATACACCATTGTGAATACATGGACATACCATACACCTTTGTCAATACATGGACGTACCATACACCATTGTCAATAAATGGCCATAGTATACACCATTGTCAATAAATGGCCATAGTATACACCATTGTCAATACATAGACATAGTATACACCATTGTGAATACATGGACATACCATACACAATTGTCAATACATAGACATAGTATACACCATTGTGAATACATGGACATACTATGCAACACTGTCAATACATGGACATACCATACACAATTGTCAATACATAGACATAGTATACACCATTGTGAATACATGGACATACCATACACAATTGTCAATACATAGACATACCATATACCATTGTCAATACATGGACATACTATGCAACACTGTCAATACATGGACATACCATACACCTTTGTCAATACATGGACGTACTATACTTCATTGTCAATACATGGACATACTATACCCCATTGTCAATACATGGACCTACCATACACCATTGTCAATACAATGGTGTATAGTACGTCCATGTGTTGACAATGGTGTATGGTATGGCCATGTATTGACAATGGTGGATGGTATGACCATGTATTGTCAATGGTGTATGGTATGTCCATGTATTGACAATGGTGATTGGTATGTCCATGTATTGACAATGGTGTATAGTACGTCCATGTATTGACAATGGTGTATGGTATGACCATGTATTGACAATGGTGCATGGTATGTCCATGTATTGACAATGGTGTATAGTACGTCCATGTATTGACAAAGGTGTATGGTATGTCCATGTATTCACAATGGTGTATACTATGTCTATGTATTGACAATGGTGTATGGTATGTCCATGTGTTGACAATGGTGTATAGTATGTCCATGTAATGACAATGATGTATAGTATGTCCTTGTATTGACAATGGTGTATAGTAAGTCTATGTATTGACAACGGTGTATAGTATGTTCATGTATTGACAATGGTGTATAGTACGTCCATGTGTTGACAATGGTGTATGGTATGGCAATGTATTGACAATGGTGTATACTATGTCTATGTGTTGACAATGGTGTATGGTATGTCTATGTATTAACAATGATGTATAGTATGTTCATGTATTGACAATGGTGTATAGTACGTCCATGTATTGACAATGGTGCATGGAATGTCAATGTATTGACAATGGTGTATACTATGTCTATGTGTTGACAATGGTGTATGGTATGTCTATGTACTGACAATGGTGTATAGTACGTCCATGTATTGACAATGGTGTATGGTATCTCCATGTATTGACAATGGTGATTGGTATGTCCATCTATTGACAATGGTGTATAGTACGTCCATGTGTTGACAATGGTGTATGGTATGGCAATGTATTGACAATGGTGTATACTATGTCTATGTGTTGACAATGGTGTATGGTATGTCTATGTATTGACAATGATGTATAGTATGTTCATGTATTGACAATGGTGTATAGTACGTCCATGTATTGACAATGGTGAATACTACGTCCATGTATTGACAATGGTGTATAGTATGTCTATGTATTGACAATAGTGTATAGTATGTCCATGTATTGACAATGGTGTATAGTAGGTCTATGTATTGACAATGGTGTATAGTATGTTCATGTATTGCCAATGGTGTATTATTGACAATGGTGTATGGTATGTCCATGTATTGACAATGGTGATTGGTATGTCCATCTATTGACAATGGTGTATAGTACGTCCATGTATTGACAATGGGGTATGGTATGTCAATGTATTGACAATGGTGTATACGATGTCTATGTATTGACAATGGTGTATGGTATGTCCATGTATTGACAATGGCGATTGGTATTTCCATGTATTGACAATGGTGTATGGTATGTCTCTGTATTGACAATGGTGTATAGTATGTCCATGTATTGACAATGGTGTATATTACGTCCATGTATTGACAATGGTGTATGGTATCTCCATGTATTGACAATGGTGATTGGTATGTCCATGTATTGACAATGGTGTATACTATGTCTATGTGTTGACAATGGTGTATGGTATGTCTATGTATTGACAATAGTGTATAGTATGTCTATGTATTGACAATAGTGTATAGTATGTCCATGTATTGACAATGATGTATAGTATGTTCATGTATTGACAATGGTGTATGGTATGTCCATGTATTGACAATGGTGTATAGTATGTCTATGTATTGACAATGGTGTATAGTATGTCCAGGTATTGAAAATGGTGTAGGATACATGACCATGTATTGACAATGGTGTATGGTATGTCTATATATTGACAATGGTGTATGGTATGTCTATGTATTGACAATGATGTATAGTATGTTCATGTATTGACAATGGTGTATGGTATGTCTATGTATTGACAATAGTGTATAGTATGTCCATGTATTGACAATGGTGTATAGTATGTCCAGGTATTGAAAATGGTGTAGGATACATGACCATATATTGACAATGGTGTATGGTATGTCTATATATTGACAATGGTGTATGGTATGTCTATGTATTGACAATGATGTATAGTATGTTCATGTATTGACAATGGTGTATGGTATGTCTATGTATTGACAATAGTGTATAGTATGTCCATGTATTGACAATGGTGTATAGTATGTCCAGGTATTGAAAATGGTGTAGGATACATGACCATATATTGACAATGGTGTATGGTATGTCTATATATTGACAATGGTGTATGGTATGTCTATGTATTGACAATGATGTATAGTATGTTCATGTATTGACAATGGTGTATGGTATGTCTATGTATTGACAATAGTGTATAGTATGTCCATGTATTGACAATGGTGTATAGTATGTCCAGGTATTGAAAATGGTGTAGGATACATGACCATATATTGACAATGGTGTATGGTATGTCTATATATTGACAATGGTGTATGGTATGTCTATGTATTGACAATGATGTATAGTATGTTCATGTATTGACAATGGTGTATGGTATGTCTATGTATTGACAATAGTGTATAGTATGTCCATGTATTGACAATGGTGTATAGTATGTCCATGTATTGACAATGGTGTAGGATACATGACCATATATTGACAATGGTGTATGGTATGTCTATATATTGACAATGGTGTATGGTATGTCTATGTATTGACAATGATGTATAGTATGTTCATGTATTGACAATGGTGTATGGTATGTCTATGTATTGACAATAGTGTATAGTATGTCCATGTATTGACAATGGTGTATAGTATGTCCATGTATTGACAATGGTGTATAGTATGTCCAGGTATTGAAAATGGTGTAGGATACATGACCATGTATTGACAATGGTGTATGGTATGTCTATATATTGACAATGGTGTATGGTATGTCTATGTATTGACAATGATGTATAGTATGTTCATGTATTGACAATGGTGTATGGTATGTCTATGTATTGACAATAGTGTATAGTATGTCCATGTATTGACAATGGTGTATAGTATGTCCATGTATTGACAATGGTGTATAGTATGTCCATGTATTGACAATGGTGTATAGTATGTCCATGTATTGACAATGGTGTATAGTATGTCCATGTATTGACAATGGTGTATAGTATGTCCATGTATTGACAATGGTGTATAGTATGTCCATGTATTGACAATGGTGTATAGTATGTCCATGTATTGACAATGGTGTATAGTATGTCCATGTATTGACAATGGTGTATAGTATGTCCATGTATTGACAATGGTGTATAGTATGTCCATGTATTGACAATGGTGTATAGTATGTCCATGTATTGACAATGGTGTATAGTATGTCCATGTATTGACAATGGTGTATAGTATGTCCATGTATTGACAATGGTGTATAGTATGTCCATGTATTGACAATGGTGTATAGTATGTCCATGTATTGACAATGGTGTATAGTATGTCCATGTATTGACAATGATGTATAGTATGTTCATGTATTGACAATGGTGTATGGT